AAATGTAAAATTGTTACTGAATGGTTTAAAATTAAATAACTTGTTTACAAAGGGATAAACTTGTTTAAAACTTGGTTTTGCTATCGACACAAGCATAGACATAGTRTTTTAAAGTTGACTGAAAGTTTCGTTTTAACCAAATTATGAAACAGTAACCGAACTTCAAGGGCTGTTTGAACTTGCATGTAGTACTTTATAACTGTCAAGAACTGTGCTTTATAACTGCACACAGCACGCGCGCGTTTTCTATGGCTTYATTAGTGTACTGTAATCGGGAGCTGACACGATTTGATACGAATTTCTTGAAGATACTAGTTGAGTGCATTTAGTCACACTAGTTGTTGAATAGTAAATAACTTATCTAATTTAGGTGGTGTCAACTATTCAACAGTTAGACTAAATTCACTCTATAGCAGAATCAAGCATGCGTAAAATTGACACTAATGGACTAGTGTAAAACTTTCAATTAAAGTTATTATCCACAGGGAATTTTGTCTTTCTGATTTTAAAATTCGCTGAAAACATTCCTGTAAAAATATCGCTTGTYTGTATTTGTATCCGAAAATAAATCTGATTTAAGGCCGTTAGGTTTGAAATTAGATCAAATTTCGACGTTTATTGTTAGGGGGATTAAATCAAACAAAAAATACAAAAGGCCCGACTTTGATTAGCATATGTCAGTCATTGTTTAATCCATTTCCTTAGTAGCAAGACGCACAAAGCCTAGTTACATACCATACGAAGGAACTCCACAAGATGGCGTTCGCTATTCTTGTAGTGATTCTAACTCTTCATACGGATTTTATTGTCGGGATTAATGGCGCTCTGAGTACTTCAACCACAAATGCAGCTTTCAAAAAATATGTTGTGGCTAAAAAAACTTGTGGAAGTCCTCCGGAGAAATACTTCTCTTCGTCACAGAACGAGGTTCCACCGAGATTTCGAGAAAGTCAATTTTGCAATGCCTCAAGTCCTACAGATTCTCACAATGCTTCGTACTTGGTAGACGGCAATAGAGATACGTTTTGGCAGTCGACTTCAATGGTGAATGCTGCAAACATTACTATTGACTTCTCTGGTCCGATGCACAAGGTAAAAAATGTATACAAATTTACTCGGTAACCCCTTGAGTGTTATCGGTTGGAAATCAATTCTTTCTACCATTTGTATTCATCGCTGTAACTGGTACTTTACGATCTTTGGCCCGTTTTTCGCAACTTGATCTTAACTTTTTATAATTTCATATTTTTATACAAACCATATCGATTTTGCGGTTAAGTGACGCATTAAAAATTTAAGTTCAATTCATGACTCGTTACTTTGGAGATTTCAATATTTAACTTCGCTATCTTTAAATTAACTAGTTCGGCAGTTCATTTTCGGGGTTGAATTCATATTTTTCGTGCAAAAAATGTACATGATTTTAAGGAAATTCACTACATAGATCTCGGAAAAATATTGCATTTATTTCGTTTTTAGACAGCTGATTTTACAAATTCAGTCCATTTATTTTCGATACTATTAGTTCACTACATTTTTTCGTACTTTTTCCATTCGATCTGGATCGAATATGAAAATCTTCATAATTTATCTTCATATGACGTGTAATAATTTTCTTTATTATTTATTTTTGTTTTTAGTATTACTACGTCGATAGCATTGAGATTGAGTTTGGAGAGTTCTACCGACCAATGCAGATGGCGTTTGAGAAGTCCACAGACCATGGCGAGAACTACATCCCCTGGCATTACTATGTATCGGAGGAAAATCCCGAAAACCAGTGCCAAGAAAAGTTTAACATTTCCCTAGGGTCAAAACCTGCTTATGTGGACAATATYATATGTACGCAGTATCCTGATCCAGTAGCTCTTCCAAAAGATCAAAAGGTATGGTWAATGGATTTTGTAAAGATGTAAGGGACAGTTTATTTTTTATCAAGAAGAGATTGATTGAGGAGGGGTATATAGGTGAGCACTTGGAAAAGTAGTGCCTCCCCTTTAACACCTTTATCATTGCTAGTTGCACTGATAGAGACAACAGTCCCACTTGCTTATAATTTATTTGATTGACAGCATACTGTAGGCTATACAGTACATTGTCAATCAAATTAATTGTTATAAGAGTAGTTTCCCATGCACCTTTTCGCAGTAACCCTGTACCTTAGACTGCGAGGGGTCCCACTTTTTCTTTCAGACTCCGTAAAAACGAGTGCATGTTGTCACACTCTGTACTGTACCTTTACGTACTCTAACAGTACTCTAACAGTACAGTGCAGTGTAATATTGCACAGTTTCCATGTCATGACTGTTGTCTAGATAAGGACCTAGATAAGCACCAATGAAAGCAGTGGTAGTAAGGCATTATATATGTAGTACTAATCAGTGCCAATACTGCTTGCCCCCTTCCTTGGAATCCCTTTTCGAAATTACCTAGATTTGTACCAAAAAAGGAATTTATAATACAACGAAAATCTTTGAATTTAATTTTCCTGTCTCGTTTCAAAATTTTTATTTCTTATTCTAATAAATAAATAAATAAATAGAATAAAATGGGAGCTGGCATTCTCCTTTTTGGGCTGGGAAAATTGAATTTTACACACTGGGAATGGGATTCACAAACAAAAAACAAAAACAAAAAAACAGGAATGGGATTGAGATTTTAGCAATTAATACATAGGCTGGGACAATGGGATTTGGTCAAAATGTGGGCTGGGAAATGGGATTAGGACCCCACTTCTGGACCCTCTTATTACTGTTTATTAGATTAAGAAATTTTATTATAACTGAAATTATATGATTTATTTATATATTTTTAWTTGTGTCACAGGTTGAATGGAAACCTGCCTTCCTTAGAGGTGAACCAAACAACCCCACAGTCAAGCTAGTGGTATGTTGGTTCTATGAAGTATTAAATATGATATAATAAAGAGCTATTTTCATATGAGTGGGAGACAATAATGTAGCCATTCATAAAAGGCTGGTTTAAATGGTACAATTTTCGCCTACAACTATTGTATACAACATGCTCGCGTCTGTTGTAGGCGAGTTGTAAGCTTGATTTACACACTACGACTCGAGTTGGCGAGCGTGTTGTATACGATAGTTGTAGGCAAAAATCATACCGTCTAATTCAACCGGCCTTAACTATGCCTCATTATTAAATAAATTATTGGAAGACAACAGAAGCCATTTCAGTGTTACAACACGTCCTAGCTACTGTGTGAGGGCTGTATTACAATACTATACTTTTCCCACTTATATATAATAAATGAAATAAAATAAATAATTAATATAAAGTTGCCATTCCCATATGCCAAGTGCTAACAGCTTTTACCTCTTACCTCATGTTTTATGTTCTAGGATTGGATGAATGTTACCAACATTCGCATCCACTTATTAACATTGAATAAACCCTATGACCCTCTTGCAGTTCTTTGGGTAAGTCACAGATAGCTGTAGCCTTTCTAATTTTTGTTGGTAATTCACATGCAATTCTCACATCTCTGTACCCCAACTTTATAAGTGAAAATACTTGAAAATACAAGTTGTATTACATGCTAGTGTATTATATTCAAAATCAAAGTACAGCAAAATCAAAGGCGCTTAGTAGTCCATAGATTATTTTTCATAATGATTTACATTTTGAAATAATACCGTAAGTGCCCCTCTCCCCATTAACAGTGACCCTCAAAACTACGAACTTTTAATAGACACCAATCATCATAAATGTGAAAAAAATATTTGGTACTCCAAGAACTATTGTTACCAGAGAAAATGGTTGTCCACCCTCCAAATTTCCATAGTCCATACCACCCCATAAATTATGAACACTCCCTTGCTTACAGATGATTTTTTGACTGATTCTAAATAAATATAGAAAAATAAGCCTGTTCAGTTTCTTGACTGTATAATACATTGATAAACTAATGAGAATGGGAATAAATTTTGTTTACAGTATCATTATGCAGTAAGAGAGGTAAAGGTGATAGCATACTGCGACTGTAATGGACATGGTGTTTCCTGCAACTATAACGAAACAATAGGTGACAATAAGTGTGCATGTCAACCAGGAACGTGTGGAGACAAGTGCGAACATTGTTGCCCAGCTTATAATCAATATGCATGGAAACGAGGAAGTAAGGGACCTATGGTGGTTGACGAAACCTCAGCATGTCAGTGTGAGTATGRGGTCATTTATAGGTTGTATAGAGGATATCATAGGTGTGGGGGGATACGAATGTCATATTAGAGTGTTGATAATATCTCTCATGAGTAAGTACAGCAAACTTCACTGTGTAGAAAGTACGAAATTCAAGACCGGATAAATCCTTTTATCATATAAATTATTCATAAAATAACTATATTTCTTATTTTCAAAAAATTGATATTTTTACATGTAAAATAACATGCTATTTTCACATGTGAAAATAGCATGTTATTTTCACATGTGAAAATATCGTTCACATGTGTATTTAAGCTATTTATGAATAAAAACTTTTTATAATAATAAAAAGCTTGTTAAGTTGATTTTATGGATAAATATATAATAAACAGAATGTTACATGGCCGTTTGGAGATACGAAATTTACCTTCTCGTGTTGAAAATCTCTCACTCATTCGCTGTGCTTCAACACTCAAAGATACATTTTGTATCTCCGCACGCCCACGTAATATTCGCTGCGCTCACTCGTGAGAGCTCACTCGAAGATAAATTTTGTATCTCCGCAAGCCCATGTAATATCCTCTATATATTTCATCAAATAAAATTTAATAATTTGAATTTGATTTTTCTTATATATTTATTACTCTTAAAATGTTAATTATGAAAATAAATATGTTGATTTTACTTTTTTCCTATTCTCTTTTATTTAATTTTTAGTGTGTAACTGTCACAATCACAGCAATGTGTGTATCTACGATGAAACCATTGAACGCATGAATGCAAGTCTTACCATGGACAACAAATATAGTGGGGGAGGAGTGTGTCAAAACTGTCAGGTAATTAAGTACATACAGGCTATTGTATTTCTTATAGGCCAGTTCATAGTTTAAGAATCGTTTTCTGTGCGCACGCAAAGTTTATTATTCTTAAGGGAATAATGGTACCTATGTTCTGTTATCAATTCCATATGGTCCAACTCCAGAGCATCCTGTGCCTAGTTTTGCCCTTATGCAGGAAACCCAACATATATTTCTGACTTCTTATAAACAGTTTTACATTTTCTTTGCCTCTAAAGCATAATACAGAAGGTGTCAATTGTGAAAGATGCAAGCCTTACTATTATCGCCCTGCAAACAGAAGCAAGCTTTCTCTTGATGTCTGTGAATGTAAGTTTTACGAAGTAGACAGAATACTGCTGGCTGTGAAAATTGCACTCTTTTTTTATTCAAGGGGATGTTAGTGACCAATCCCTGAATTATTATAGAGGGGCAACAATGTTAGGACATTAWTTTTACCATGCAAACTAAAAAGGAAGGTCCCAGAAATTTATGCAAGCCTTTGAGGGGCCAAGTCATTACTTTTTGTGCAAATTGGTAAGAACAAGGAAAGGAGTATAAATGAAGGGGTGACTAACATTTTTTTATAGCAGGAAATGGAAAGAAAAATATGCAAATCAAAACTAAAATGCATCAGCTCTCCTTGACCTCCCTTACATGCAGGCAACATACACTTTCTTGTGCAACTCCTTTCATGAAACTTAATATGCACTAAAAAATAATTATAAAAATATTCTGAAGTTTTACATGTACCTTTTTGCAAAAAAAAAAAAAATCGGAAAATGACAGAAAAACATTTTTATGACTAGAGCTGAGTTGTACATTTGTTTAACAATACCTTAAATGATTTTCAACTTTATTTCTAGCATGCAACTGCAGCAAGGCTGGTTCAAGAAATGAAACACTGCCGGGAGTCCTATTTAGGGAATGTATGAGAGAACCAGGACAGAATCTCGTAAGTTTATCCACAGGAATACTTCACAAATTTAGAAATTTTTGTTCTCTGATACAATGATTCTTGTCTACATGAATTTTTTTATATTTTTTCATATTCACTTTAATTCCCTCCATTTTTAACAGCTTCCAGGTGACTGTCTTTGTAAGAACAACACTGAAGGGAGAAGGTGTGACCGCTGTAAACCAGGATATTACAACCTGACTGAATTTAACCCAGAGGGATGTCAAGGTGAAAACTACGAGCAGCATATATTTGTGCAAATAATTTTTAGTATATACATGTATATTACATAGATTATAATTCTAGAAATAGCATAATCATTGACAAGTCTGATTGCTTTATTTTTGCAGTGTGTGTGTGCAATCAATTGGGGACAGTCAATAAGTCCAACATCTGTGAACCGGACGACAAAGGTCAATGCACTTGTAAACGCAATGTACAAGGTGTTACATGCGATACATGCAAGGATACCTTCTATGGCCTCAGTCATGATAATGTCCTTGGCTGTCAAGGTAATGAAGTTTTGTATGTGTACATTGTATGTACATACTGAAAGACCTTACCCTGTCCTAGCTTCACTAATATAAACTTAGGTTTGAGTGATTGTGGTGTGGTAGCCAGAGCATTCAACTCTTGCTATTTTGTGACACCCCAGGATCTAATTCCCAAGCTCAGGGAATTCAGGGTTATAATTATTATGTTATTCAGTTTTTTGTTGGTATTCTCTGGTTTCCCTCTCTCAAAGATCAACTTCTAGATTCAAGTTGGATTAATTGGAAGAAGATTCACTAAGTGAACCACTGATGGACATATTAAGCTTTTGTGATCAATTCATTAAAAATTATACYATTTATTTAGGCATTGCGACTGATTGTTGCCCATTATTCAGGGTAGTGCTTAACTTTGATTGTAATATTTTTTATTGTACCTGTTTCAGCTTGTTTGTGTAACTATGGTGGATCTAATGGTTCTGTTTGTGTCAAACATAATGGTCAGTGCCCTTGTCTAGAGAACATTGAAGGACGACAATGTGAAAGGTAATACAACAATAACAATAGTCTTCCTAGATCTTTATCATCATCAAACTTGACTTTACTGGCACTGACTGGAAACCATGGGCGGAGCCAGGATTTGTGTACCTAGGAGGCCGGGGTGGGGGAGGAGGGAACGAGTAGATGACCATTGTCAGTGTAGAGCTCCTTTGCTCCTAGCATGCATTTTTCCTTATTTTGAGAGTGATCAGCCATTACAGGTTGTTATGGAAGCGACACAATTCATGTTCTTCTTGCTTTTCTCTCAGGCCCGAAGACAGGGCATATTACCCTGATTTACACTTCATTGGAGGAAACACTCAACATAATCCAGAGGTAACACATTATATATAAGTATTATTTGGCATGCCTTGATTTTGTGGCCTCTTTTAGCAGATGTAAATTCTCAAAATTTTATCTATTTATCCTCAGACAAACTCCTGGTCCACAACGTTCAAYGTTACAACTGGTCGTTCCACCAACTCGGGTCTTTTTGCCCTCCTATTATATTATCAAAGCGATTCCTCTCAATCGGTAACCGTTACTGTGACAATGTCAACAGACACAATATCAAAGAGTGTTGCCCTTGACAACTGCTCAAGCACATGTTATCGGAATTTATCTCAGTTTGGAGAGATGAACCTTAGGGGGGTGGTGAAAGTAAATATTACRTATTCTGGTGCTAATGGTTTTGAAGGAAAGAGAGTTGTTGCTCTGCCGAAGGAGTTTTATCAACCTGATATCCTGCAAGAAGGACAGGAAGACTTCCTTGGGAACTGCAGTGTTATTAGCAATGGTCCTATCGGTAATTCGTCGGAGGAGTTCTGTAAGAACGGCGTGTTTACTATCACTACTGGATACCTTGGAAAGGCGTTAGGTGAGAAACTGTACATTATTAAAAAAATAAGAAACACACAAGACTGTGCTTTATGTAGTTATGAAGCACTTGGGAATTGGCACTGAGAACACTTAGAACATACTTATCTTGTATCCCGCAAATTTTTGAATGCTTTATAAGAGTACACAGCACGGGATGCATTTCTGTTGCCTTTAACGAGAAATATCATTGAAAGTAACATGCTATTGACACCTGACTTTAATTGGTTTCCAATTACTTAAGGCTCCGAGTCAGATTTGTGCGTACCCATCATGCTGTATGTAGCATTTTATTTGAATGAAACTGATAGGTAACTATATAAAAGTTGAAAGGCAGACTACACTATCTGCTTTTGGCTGTGAGTGAAGAAATGAAGAGTGCAAATGAAGAGTGCTTTGATTTTTTGACAACAGTTTTACAGCCCCAGATTATCATGGAATAGGGACGCTTTCTATTATTCTTCTATTTTCAGTAGTTTTCTTTATCAGTATAAATATGGTTTCTTTTTTTCAGAGTGCAATTGTGATCCTATTGGTTCAAATAATCTAATATGTGAGAAATATGGTGGTCAGTGCTCTTGCAGACCAGGTGTTACCGGAAGAAAGTGTGATCAATGTCAGGCAGGATTCTATAACTTAACTATATCTGGATGTACAGGTAAATGAAGATAACTAGACTTAATTCCTTTAAAAAG